CCGCCGTCCTGCCCGCTCCGGGCTCCCGCGGCGGCGGCGTGGCGCGGGGCTTCTAGGAGGACAGAGCGGGGCGAGCAGGGTCGCGCGCTTGGAAGGCGAACTTGGGAGCGAGGCCCGGGCCTCCCCGCCCCCCGAGTGGGGTCTCTGAGCAGAGCGTCCGCCACCCTAAGCCCCAGAGCGGCGCTTCCCCTGTCCTAGCCGCTGTCAGAGCGTGCTGGTGGCCGCATTGGGGTCGCCAGGAGGAGAAAGCCGCCTGACCCAGAGCTGCGGCATCCTCTTCGGTACCCAACTTCGGCCAGCCCTTGAGTTCCTAGTCTTGTAGGCGGAGAAAGCTACAGCCTTAAGGATTACTTCACAGTGTATTATCTTCATTTTTTTAAAGGATATGCTGAAGGACTGACTATACGAGTCCATCTGTGCTCCTTTTTCAGATCAGAAAATTCACTGAAGATTTTTTGTTTTTGAAAGGCAAAGAATATAAAGTATAATTTAGGTAGTACATTATCCACACTTTATTTTAACTGAAAAGCTATAGTTTTTTTTTTTTTTTTTTTTTTCCTTCTTGGAGGATTAGAGTTAGGAGGGATTTTAACATCCAAATAGCATTTCCTAAGGATCATTCCTTAGTTATTTTCACCTGTAGTCGTTCCTCTCAAACGCCAGGCCAGAAGCTTCTAAAGCACACACTTAGACCTAGATAAAGATTTTACGATTGGAAGAGAAAGTCTGTGGGATTCCAATGCCCCCTCCTCTGAGCCTTAGGGGAGTAAAGTGACCTGATACCTTAGAATTTGTTCTGCTCTCCAGGTGGGGAATTGTGGTTCTTTGGTGCTTAAGGTTCCCCAATTTTGGGGGGTGGAGGGCGGAATTGGGGAGTGAACTCAGGGCCATGCGCTTGTCATGCAAACACTTATTCTACTGAGCTATCTCCCCAGCCCCAGGGTTCCCCCTGATACCTCCCTACAATCTTCCTTGTCAGTCTGTTCCGGTTGCTTTTACCAGAAAACCCCAGCGTGTTGGATACGTCTTTCACAAATTCATCTGTAAAGTCATAATCCAAGTACTGAAGAGGTCTGCAGCTGAACTGAGGATTCTTTGTGACACATCCCTTGCCCTCAGCAGGGAGGATGAATTCCTCAGGGAAGACAGAGTTATGCCACACCAGCCTATAATAACTCAAAATGTTATTTTGAAATTTTCAAGCCCTCAGTCTGGTCTCACAACTCTTTAAATCTAACATTGCGAATATTAATAATATAGTCTTTTCTACTTAAGGTTCATATACATTTTCAAAAGGACACTAATTTAGGTCCCTGGTGGCTTTTGAAATATTTTACATCGTTGTTTTGTAGTGATGTTTGACATAAAAATAATTACAAACATAGCATTGCTCTGTTTCATCTGTTAAAAAATGTTACTTTTTTATTAAATAATGTAAGAATTCCAGTGCATCAGTTGTATATGTTTATAACTTTAAAGTACTTAAAAAATACCTTCCTTTTATGTTATTTGAGTTTTTCAGGCAGGTGCACACCCTGGCATTGAGATAGGTAATATGAAGGAATATTATATATAGATACAGATATGTAAGATAGACCATTTTACATTTTATTAGTACATGTTTGCGGTACACAGTGGTTGCGTGTATCATGGGGAGTTGGTGCATGTACACACACAGCTTAATTCTCTTTTTGACTGCTACGCCTCTCATTGTTCTCTTTTCCTTCCAACTTTTGATTCTCTTCTCATTTGTGAGAGTTCTATTCCCATTATTTTTCCTTCAATTCTTTTTTTCCAGTTTTTCTTTCTTGCCTCCTCACTCCATCTCTTACTCCTTTGCCCACTTGAAAAAGATCTCCCTATGTCCTATTTTCTGTCTTTTGTTTTGCTCTTTATTTCTATTTTGGGCTTCTCATATACTTCTTGATAGCATTTTATTTCTGTGTGAGTTGATATTTACATAGAGTTGCATGTATATGTAAGTGTATGTGGTAGTGTGTTCTCAGAGGAGAAGGGGTGCTTTGTATGGCTCCTATACTGTATTTTATTGAACTCATCTGGATTATTCTAGTGACATGGACATTTTATGGCTAGAGTAGACCCTAGAATTCATTCCACAGATATTTCGGTAGTATCTATTGTGGCATAGGGGATGTAAACTTGGATTCAAATCTTGCTCTTTATGTAATAGCTAACTCATTTTGCTAAAGAGCTGAATGTAGAAAAGTAGGGAGGTTAGAGAATTGCTAAAGCTTATGTTGAGCACACGTAGGTTCTCAGTTTACACCTGCACAGCATTCCTGTTTGCTTCTTTAATGAGATACTGAGCAGTGTGGAAAACAGGCCACCAGCTTGAGCTTTTGTTTGTTCCTCCGTCTTGATTCTGCTCCTTGGTGTTTGGGATCATAAATGCCTGTCAGTTATACTCAAGGTGGTCCATCAGTGACTAATGGAGGTGATAGTCTCCCCTTTTACTTAAGTAGTGGGAGTTAGGCTTTCTCCAAAAGGGGGGCCTAGTTCATGTATTCCAGAATGTGTACCCTAGTCTGGAGAGGTGGCTCAGCAGCACAAGCACCTGCGTGGCAAGCACAAGGTCCTCAGTTCCCGGTACCAAAGAAGCAAAAATATATCTACTAAAGTGACTTAATAATAAAATCTCTAGGATGTACTCTAAATTTGCAAGGTGCTTAATTTGCATTTATACTTGCCATGAGTGCGTGCTGTAGCTAGTAAGCTTCTGACATGGTGGTTGCTTTTACCACTCTGCATCTGTGGTTGGCTGTGGTTATTTGGGGATAACCAAATAACCTTCTCCTAAAGATTTCCATTGGCAGTGCCAGGTCTTGGAAGCTTTTGAGTGTGTCTGCTTTCTTAAATACTCTGTCAAAGTGACTGAGTGTCTGTTGACAGCTCAGGTACCTAAAGATGTTCATGTTCTGTGCATTGTTTATATTTCTCCAGCTTTGTCAAATGCTTGGAGCCTGGAGAGTGTAGAGACCCAGGGAAGGAATGTAAAGGAGGGAATTATAGAGTAGGGATTTAGGTCACTTTTAATGACTGGCATATTTTAATTTTTCAGAAAGTACTTTGCAGATTTTAATTAGTGAAACTATTTAACCTTGAAAAGTCATGTAAATTGGATTCCATTTTGCAGCCAAGACATTGTTTTTAGATTTGACCAAGGCAGGCAGAGCCCAAGTAGAAGACAAGAGGGAAGAGACATTGTCAGAGGACTCCTGTGGGGAGGTTTTGCTTGTGTTCATTGGTGGGAAGACTTTGGCTGCTCAGTGCAAGCTGGAAATAAGATCTTCCCTGAGGTTATTGTGACCTGTTCCCAATAAGGCTCATTGGGAACGGATTTGAAGCCAGTGTTCATGGTCTTGGACTTCTTGCGGCTTTGTTTTTGTCTTTGCTTTACTCTTAAAATAAACTATAAATGAGGCACAGGCATTTTATATATAGAAAAAACAGTAAAATTTATGGTGGGAAGGGAGGAAAAGCAAGGCTTGGAAGGAAGAGGGAAAGGAGTCTGGTCTACCTTTGGTTTGCTAGTTTGAAGAAGGAATGTTTTGATTATAGACCTTTGCTGGAGGAGCCTGTTAGAAAACACAGGTAGAAGAAGAAATGCTTAGAAGTCACAGTGCAGTCAGGAGGGGGTCACCTGAGGGGACGGAAGTGCTGTCAGGGACTTGGAGAGACAAGTCCTCCTGAGGTTGTCTTACATCTCCAGCCCCCTGGCGTGATGTGTGTGAGGGGTGTCAGTTGAAAGAGTGAACTTTGGGGTACAACATCCAAAACAGTGTGTACTTTTTCCTTCTTATGAATATCTTAGGAGTACCTATAAATAAACTATATTTGAGAGTGGGAGATGTGACCTGCATTTGCATTTTTTTTTCCATTTTCTTAGCCAAGGAGAACTGTAATGTAGGTGTAAATGTCACTGTGTTCCTTGGCCTACCCAGTTTCACCTTCACTCCAGCTGGAGGCACAGACCTGAGAAGT